TCATAATGAATGGCTAAGGGAAGGCTCTAAAGGTTCTGGGAGGCCATTCCTTAAACTTAGCCAGGGAGAGGCATACCGCTGGGTCCCACCCAGACATCCCAGGATATGCAGATGTGGGAAACTGCTACACACTCCCACCCATCATCCCTGCTTTGTATCAAGTCCTTCGGTGCTTACAGGAAAATGTCAAGACCCTGGTCTGGCCTGGTTTTATGGTAAAGATCCTACTACCTACGCAGAATCCATTCTGTTTTGGAAGACTGGACTAGGATTCAAGTGCCAGCTCTCTCTTCACGTCTCAACAGTGGAAAGATAACCAGTTTCTTCAGTGATGAACTGGAAGCATTTACAGAAGCTGTGGTTGTTTAGATAATGAAAGTGTGACACCTGTTTAAATAGGGTTATCTTAATTGTATTCTAACTCCATGAAGACTGGTAAATTGTGTGGAATACATGAAAACTCAATAGACCAGTGTAGTGCCTAGTATTTATTTAATATTCTATTCTTTAAAAGCTAGATTTTTAAATGTTTATTTGTGAGAGAGTGCACATGATTGGGGAAGGGGCAGAGAGAGAAAGGCATAGAGGATCTGAAGCAGGCTCTGCACTGTCAGCACAGAGCCTGATGTGGGGCTCAAAGTCACGAATGCGAGATCATGACCTGAGCCAAGGTTGGACGCTCAACCGACTGAGCCACCCAGGTGCCCCTTTAATACTTTAAATAAGGCATTGTTATCCCCAAGGTTCAGAGGGGCTTTGTCACCAACCCCAGGCCACATGTGGCTATGTGAGGCTAATTGCTGACGATGCCTTACCACACAGAATGTCATGGGAGTCACTCTCCTGCCTCTCACTATTGCCCTCACCTTGGTATTTAAAGCCTCGGGGAATGTATGTTTCTATCTTTAAGACATCCCAGTTCTTTTTTAGCTGCTCTACTGGCTAAACCAGAACTCTTCTCCTTTATCTTTCCTTTCTCTCAGTTCTGGTAAATAGCTGTTCAGGTCAAAAGCTGAGGGGTCTCCTTCCGGTCCCCATCCTCCCCATCCAGTATGGCAGAGGGTTCTTCCCAACCCTTAGTCCCAGCCACCTTGCACCGGGACGGCACAGCAGGGGACCTGCTGGCAGAACAGCTCCGTGAAGACCACGGTGAAGGCCAGACCGGATGGCAGCAGGGGGACACATTAGGTGACATCCAGTGGCACAGGCCCTGATTGCACCTGTGGCTGTTGAAAGGGCCAGGGCAGTGGAGAATGGGGGAGGGTGTCTCTCCATTCCCCAAGCTTCTGGGTAGGGCTGGGGCTCATGGCCCGAGCTGCCAGCAGCCTTGGGGAGGGCAGCACTGTCTCCACCGCTGTCATCCATACAGTGCTTTGTCATCTTGGAGGCCAGCGGTGCTCCTTCCTGTACTAGCAGGTCCTTAACCTCTCTTTTGAAATTAGCTGTCTACCCTGCCCAGGAAGCTGCGTAAGTGGGCACAGAGGCCAGGATGTGCTACTGCATACCCACCAACTGAAGTATGAGGAAATCCACTGTCTCTAGGGGAAAAGGTTCAACTACAAAGGCCATAAGTTAGGTACACGTGCTACCTGCATCTCAAAGTCCAGGCGAGCTGTGTGAACGGTCTCATTAGAAGGTGGATAGGTAGAGGCACCTGGCCAGCTCAGCTGGTTAAGCGCCCAACTTCGGCTCAGGTCATGATCTCGAGGTTCGTGAGTTCGAGCCCTGTGTATCGGGCTCTGTGCTGACAGCTCGGAGCCCGGAGCCTGCTTCAGTTTCTGTGTCTCCTCTCTCGGCCCCTGCCCTGCTCGCACTCTCTCAAAAAGTGAATAAACGTTAAAAGAAAATTAAAAGAAGGCAGATAGGCAACTTGCTTGGAGCCAGTCTATTCGGCAAGGCAGAGGAACTGGCACTCAGAACCCAGAGGCTGGGATGCCGGCATGTGGCCACCCTGCTGCCCTCTCTCCATCTCCTTGTTCTCTGGACACCCCTTCCTTTCTTTCATTCCTCACGAGGCCAAAGCCCTCTGGTCCCGGTCTCAAGCCTTGTTTCCTCTCCCTAACTTGGTTCCCGTTCCTCAGTCTCGTGGATCTAGTGAGGATCCCAGGACTCAGTGGGGGCTGGAGCAAGCTCACGGACTCCTCTATTTCAGGACCACTGTTCACCTGCGAACCAGCGGAAAGTTACACAGTTCTACTTAACAGGGGATAGACTTCTTGGAACCTAAACAACTGACTATGCAGCATCCAAATGAGAGGAGCCATAAGCCTGAGTCCACCACATGAATTTTTAATACTTCAAGTATCCAAGAGCTCTATAGCACACCAAAGTGCTCACCACTAGAAAGCACTGCAGAAAGCTAGAATTGCCACAAACGAACTGCTGGCTCTTGGTAGTGAGACTTCCAAACCATGCTTCAGACACAGAATGTGCTCGGTGCTTCCTTCGGTGTCGTTTATACATTTAGTCAGGAACATGGCTTCTTCTGCACTATGGTTATAACCCTGCTTTCAACTTTGTTAGTTGGGCGCATCCAGTCCCGTGAACAAGCATTCCCAACTATGTCTTTGCTATTTATGGGAAAGCCCAGAGTCCTGGACTGAAAGCTCTAGAATGTACTTGTCAAAGGTGAAATAAAATGCAGCCGGGAGGCCATTAAGGAGGTGGGCCTCAGGCACATCCTCACCAGGTGGGGCCGTGAACTGGGCTAAACTGCAGATACTCCCAAGGACTCTGCTGGGACCTGCAACTTGCTACAGTGACAAGCTTCGCCTTCCAGGGGACAGCCTTAACAACCCATTATGTTCTGCCAAGATTAGCTGTCTGCCGCCAACACCAATGAGAACTCTTCGTAGACAATATCTATTCGCTCAAAAAAATCCTCTGGCTTTTGCCCCCTAGTGGGACACTACTTGGGATGCTACCCAAATCGGTGTACCCCGAATTGCAATTCCTTGATCCCAAATAAACACCCCTGCTTACTACTGCCTCCTGACAATTTTAGGTTGATGCACTCTGAAACTCAGTGCTGTGCTGCTGGGTAGCATCATGTGCGGGGACAACGTTCCATGGTTAAGCAGCCCCTGCAGCAGACCACTAGAGTAGGGCATTGGCTGTTGGGTTTTGTTCCCCGGAGCAGCCAGTGCCTGACACGGCTTAAGTTGAAACATGACTGAATTACCACCTATGGGTGGGAAAGGGTTTGAGTTCCAAAGGAAAGGCCAAGGAGGAAACAGATTACGTGGCCGAAAAGGAGGAGTGGACAAAGTACTGTTCTGGGAGAGGCTCCATTCACATGAGAAGTTAGACTCCGAACCTGCAGAAGTGAAGAGTTCATTCAGTCTCGGAAATAGGGAGCAGTCTGTAAATTGCACCAGAATAGAAATAACTCATGGGTAAAAAAGGTCTTACTTGGCTTATGCCTCCCGGAAGAGAGAAGAGCCCGGGTTCTGTGGCCACATCTGCCGGACTTCATACAGACTCCGTGGCAAGGCTGACACCCGTGTTAAGAGCCACTGTTCTTGAAGTGATTTCACGGCTGGAAACTGCCAAGGTGATGTGACGGAGCGAAGGGAAGAGGCCGTGCAGGCCATTGTGCGCTGGAACACCAGAAGTAGGATGCGTTGCTTTCCTTCGGAGCCTGTGCGGCCTGGCCTGCCTTGCTTCCATGGAAAAGAACCACAGTCGAGATTCCTGAGGAGTGCGCTTCACGTATATACAAAACGATTACATTCCGAGGCTCTGACGTAAATGTTGGCCTTCACCAAACACAAATGTCTACATACAACACTGGATCTGGTTAGCGGTAACGTGAGAGCTGCTCTGCAGACACGGCAGAATCTATTTTTAACACTTTGTTGACAAAACAGAACTCCCTTCGCTCCAGCCTCACAGAGAACTAGCCTTTTTTCTTGTAGGTAACATAACTTACCTGTTTAACCAAGGCCTGTGCTGGCATGCTACAAAGGCACCCCCCAAGGCCCCCAGTGCTGATTTGCACCATCCCCACACAAGGCGCTGTGTAGTTGTCTTATTCAGAAAAACAGAAGCTGTAATAACAGTGATGGAACATACAAGACTTTGGGTAAACTTTGCTGTCTTATCTTCATTAGCTCAAATCAGAAGACAGTTACTATGAGAGTTTCAAAGTGCAGTCTCTCTGGAGGTGGAAGAACCTCAGACCAGTGAGGAAGGAAGGGGGACTGTGCTAGAACTTTGTCAACATGCCTTGCCTAATGCAAACAAGACTTCTTAGAAAACACCAGAAGTCAGAGCATCTGAGAAAACAGAAAAAATAAGAGGAAGACAGAAGTCTGTATGAGGCAGGGGAGGGGAGAAGATTGTAAGGAGAAACTGAAATAATGTGCTATAACTGTAGCTGCTCCCTGCCCCCCAAGAGTCCTGTTATTTCCAGAACCAGGGGAAATTCGAATGTGTCTTTTGTGGTTGATTTAAAACAAAGGGAATAGTTGCGGTTCCTGTGCCAAAGTTTTAAGGGCTTTGAGGACTAGCAGCTGGAATCCAAATTACTTTCAGGAGACCCGTGTGGGTACTTTTCCCCCTAAACCTGCACAGGAGCAAGGATGACAAAAAATTATATTGTCCGGATTTTAGGTTTTTCATGAAAACATAGTTAAATAAAGATAATCACTGCCAGGATACTGCCTCTAACCATTACTAGCACTTAGTCACTTTGGAAGAGTTCCCCCACCCCCTGCCTTGTTTAATTAGCATCCTCAGGGGCTGAGGAAGGATACAGCTAATGAGCAGCGAGCACATGAGTGTACCTTTGGTATTCACCAAATCCAGAGGCTGTTATGAGTGCTGTGGGCAACGGAAGCTTCAATTCTTTGACATCTCTAGGACTGAACCAGAGCCACGGGTGACCTTGTCTGGAGACAGGGTCTTCCCATCAGTCTTCTGGAACAGGCACAGCAGGTAGGAGATGACGGGAGCTCTGTGTGGTACCAACAACCAAAAGTGAAGATGAGGTGACAAAGGCTAGAAAGGAGTCATTTATTAAAAAAACAAAAACAAAAACAACAGAACACAAAAAACAAAACAGCCCTCAGCAGGATTTGAAGACACAACAGAAGAACGCACCATCCTGATGGCTTCCCGCCCTCACGCCCTGCGACGCGCACGGCCTACGAGCTCTGTCCACCGTGGCTTCTGGCAACGGGAAGCCCAGCACACCAGTTCATCACACAGGTTGAGGCAGAGGCACGTCACCTGCCAAAGGGAGAAATCAGGACACGTGGGCCCTTCTCCGACCTCTGCTGTCAGGTAGCCAGGATTCTCTCTGCCTGTACAGTGGGCAATTTCTTACCGGGCTGGGGCTGCTGAGACAAAGGCGAGCTGACACGATCACACTTAAATTACTACCAGAATGCCAGCTCTCCAGCAAAGACCACAGCACATGGTCAGATTCTAAGGGGACAGAGCAGCTCGCTCCTTCCACAACTCCTAGAATGTAGGGCCCAGCTCAGAGGGGCATTTGACATTTGTCCCCAACACCCAGTTGTCACCACAGGTAAACCAAGACCATAATCACAACAGCAAGGACAGGATCGTGTTGCTTTTTTCCTTTTTTTTTTCTTAAAGGAGTGAGGGCATGGAAAATACAGCACACCAATGAAACAAAATGCCAAAAAAAAAAAAAAAATACAAAAAAAAATAGAAAATAGAAAAATGTATTTACAAGTAGTACATTACTATGATCAGAAAGCACAAAGACACCTGCTGCTATATTACATGCATTGGTTCAAGAAGAAACTACTAAAAACCCTGCAAGGGAGAAGCCTGTAAAAACAAACAAAAAAAGGGCCAAAAAGTTTTAACTTTTCATCCCTAATTTGCTACACTGACCAAAACCAAATGAGAGCCCCCTCAAGTCCATGAGTATATCAGTACAAATACTATACTGGTTTTTAACTGCACGTTCAGTTGTGGAGGGAAAGACAGCAGCTTATCCATATACAAGAAAGCCAGAGTAAACTGCTCTACATGCTAAAAATTACAGCAAGTCCCTGTCTGCTACACAGCATGATCTTAGCAGGTTTTAATTTTTGTTTATTCATATATACCTATGTGCGTGTGTGTGTATGTATAAAAACCGTGCCCTCGTTCACTGCCAACACAACATCTGGGTGGACATGAACTCATTACAACAAATTCTTATGTTTATGTTGTAAGAAGTCACTCAATGTCTGTGGATTTAATAAGTCACTTCACACCACAGAAAATATTTAATAAATCCAAAAAAAGGAAAGAATAGAACGACAGAAGAGCTTCTGTCTCAGTTCTCTGAAACTGAGTCCCCCATAGGAAACTGGTCCCAAAGTTCTTGAGGGTTCACTGAAGAAACTTCGGTTTGCTAATATTTTTCATCCTTTTAGTGTTCAAAAGGTACAGAACGACTCCTTGCCGTTGTCAGTTTTAAACAGTCACATCTCCATCCCCCACGGGTAACAGTCTGGTGCAGATTCATAAAAACGGGGGAGGAAGGAGCGCTGGGGGGGGCCTGTCACTTCAGGAGGGGCTCCGCCTCTACAACGGCAGGAAGAGAAAGAACCAAGCAGGGCTCCAGCACCTCGCTCCTGCAAACAAACTCCCTGCAAACGCAAAATCCAGTCACACGTCAGTTCCTTAAACAGGTACATCTCTGAGTACCAGGCCAGCTCTAAGAGGAAACAAAACCACGCGTTGACAGAAAAGGACTAAGATGGCCATTCTGGTCACTCTCTGGGATCCATCATACTTCCAGGAATCGGGAGCTGCTGGACTTGGAGTGGAATGGCTCAGACCACATCCGCCGAAGGTCACCCTGGGAAAGAAGGAACTTCACTAAGTTACAGGTTTAAACGTGAGCCACACACATCTACAAGTCCTTTTTGATCTCACACCACACTGCTTCTGCAGAGAATCAAAGAACATTTCAATTTCATGCACTGAAAGATAACCACCATTCTTTGAAGAACTCACTAGAAGAGCTCTTAGGCCCCTTACGCCAAGAAGGGTGTAAGTTCTCTCATTTCTCAGTGAGATGCTAAAGGCGAGTTAGTTTGCCTCTCTGCCTCCTCCTCTGTAAAATGGGGATAATGCAAATATTATAAGGTAATGCTCCAAGTCTAGCTGTAATCATACATTTCTTATTTCCAAACTTTAAGGCAGAGTACTAAAAAAGCTGTTAAGTGACAACAGGGCGCTGCTTTTAAGGGAAACAGGAAGTCTCTGCAGCTGAGCTCTAGGGATTTCAGTTAGTCCATCCATGAGCAGGTGGCGTGAGTAGTCTAACTCACTAGCATTTTCTGCCAATGGCTGCAATAGTCTGGAAGAGGTTGCTAATACCAGGTTAGCAAAAACCCATCAACCCACTGTCAAGACCAAGAGCTCTGGGGCTTAAGGAGAACCACCTCTGGCAAGGAGAATATATGCCAAGTTATTGCTTTCATAGGTTTTTAACTGCTTCTCTCACCTTTAAATAGGCCATCGTGAGGAGTGGCAATAAGGTAAATGGCACCAAATAGAGAAGGGCAGGCTGGGCTGCTCGGTGAATGCGAGATGCCACAGTAGCGGTGAGCAGACCTATAAGGAGAGAAAAACACTCGTGAATAATGCCAAGGGGCCAGCCCCGAGAGGAAAGAACCTGTAATACGGCTGCTGCTTGCCAGGGTCTTCAGACTGGACAGCTCTACTGTGACACATTCTGTCCAATAGGTAGGTTATGAAATGCCCAGCCCTAGCAGTTAAAGAAGCATGGAACACTACAGCTTTAAAAATGCTAGCATCGCAAGGACGCGTGAGTGGCTCAAGTCCCTTTCTGTGCTCAGGTTCCTGGTTCAAGCCCTCACTTCCGCACTGAGCGTGCCTGGTCTTCCTCAGTCTTGTGTGGTATGTGATGCCAGACTCGGAGGCAAAAGACCTGGGTCCAAGTTCCAACTGTGCTACTTACAAAAGCTGTGTAACCCTGGCTACGGCACTTCACCTCTCTGAGCCTCAGCCTCCTCTACTGTTCAGTGGGCTAACACCACTTGCCATGCCTGTCTCTGAGTTTTCGTACTGAAATGAACCACTATGCTGTAGCCATTGTAGGTGCAGACAGGCTACCGCTATTCCTAGCCCAATCACACAGGTCTCTTACTGTTGGTCCGTAAGTGAGCTGCCTAGAGAAAAACTAGCCTAGTGAGAGTCTGAGATTAGAGGTGATAAACATATTAGAACAAATGAAGGGAAATACCTGTTTAAAAAAATGGGAAATTAAGCAAGACATGGATTAACTTCAAGCTGAAGATTTAAATAGGCACACAGACTGATCCATGATCACTGTGTGGTAGAACTGACCATATTCTTCTTCCAATGTTCTTCAGAGAGTACTGCTGGATCGGGAACGGGCTGACCAGTAAGGACAGCACCTGTCATCTCACAGGCCACTGTTACTTGTCCTTCGTGGTTGTCTGTAATAGCAACCAGTTACTGCACTCCTTCCATCCAGCGTCTGCAGCTAGAAGACCTGATTTAACTCCACCGGTTGGAGGACAGTTAGTTAGTGGATCACGTGCCTCTCCCACTGTCTTACCTACAAAGTATCCAATGAGGGTGCAGTGAAAGTAGGAGACCTTCTGCATGCGTCCAGAGATATTGGCGGGTCCAGAGGCACCGCAGGAGTCACCGTTGGCTTGTTTTTTGTAGTTGTCGTAACGAAGGACAAAGCACAACAGGAGTCCAGGCATCACGATGTCCCCAATGCCCAACATAGAGAAGTGACTGCCGGTGGAGCTGAAATGCAGTGGCACAGGTCAGGGATGCCACCCTCAACAATCCCATTTCTCCTCCTGTGCAGAGTCATTTGTCAGCTTTTTTTAAGAAGTTGGACTTACCTGAATGGGAGGCAATCTCTAGCGGTGGAACAGCACTAGTTTGTAAGAGTTTAGAGATTACAAGCCAGAAGAGTACTGACGATGAATGTCTTTAACCAGGCTCCCTCACTGCTTTAAGAGAGCACCTCTAAAGTGACTGCTAAAGTCGTCTGTTTAAGTACTGTCTCCTCGAGAAATGTCAAGCAATTCAGTATTTGTCACACATTCACTGCTGTGACTTCAAACAAGCACCTGACTACTACCAGACACGGATATTAAAGCAACACAATTTTTTCCAAGATTATATTACCAGCCACTGTATAATTTTAGCATTAGGACATATTTTTACAAACATCTTAGAAGAAAAAAGGATCCAGATTCTCCTGTGAATTCCCTTCAGCCAACTCCAAAATATGGTAACAGTAGTAACATATGGTTATTTGAAAACATTAATCAATAATAAAAAGTAGCACCTGTATCATTTAGTGACAAATCTTTGCAAGTCAAATCAATATTCTCTTTCTCATTTGTATAATGGACAGATGACTCACAGCCCTTTTCCAGTCTAGGATAAGAATGCTGGTGACAGAGACCAATCAAGGAGCACAGAGGCACAGGGAGAAGACAGTGTATGAACCATCACAAGACGAGGCCCTGTAACATGCTAGTCCTACCTGGGAAAGACCAGTTTTCCAGGCAGAGACAGGCGAGGAACATCGCGCCCAACATTGGGCCCCAGGTGGAGCTTCCGGGATAGAACGTCAAGGGGATTGTCAGCCGGTTGTGTGGCCACCTTCACCATGACATTGCTATTGAAGATGTAGGCGGAGAAAAACACCTGCCGAATGGAGAGACGTCTTCAACAGAGGGAGCTAGAAGCAACCTGATGTCAGCATCAGCCCTCCTCGTTCTTAAGAGCAAAGTCTCAGAATATTACATCATCAAGCTTTTTTGACTGCATGTTTTGGAGGTGAAAGAAAATCTTTGCTCCCAGGGCACAGAACTTTGCCTGCCTGCTCTCCCCCCACCCCAAGAGACACACACGTACTCCAATTAAACACAAAAGAGAACAGTGGCTTCAGGGAAACAGACACTTACCCAAAAGACATCATAGATTAGAAGCCCTGAGAGAAGCAGGCAGGAGACCTTGAGGCTGGGCAGGCGGACAAAGGCGATCATGGCGACACAGAGACCCATGGCCAGGGCTGGGGAGGAGGCCACAGACATTGGTCAGTGTGGAGTAGACTCATCCTCTTTCCACAAGCTATTCTGCTTATAAACCTAACAGTCTCTAAGTCCCCTCAAAAGTCAAGCAGCCCAGTTTAAGCTCCAAGTTAAGACATTTACACCCTACTTGTGCAAAGTGCCCACTTTAGCCCATTCTGACGGGCTGGTTTTCGGGCACATCCCTTTTCTCATGCTCTTGGATAGTGCTCAACTGTGTAAGACCCAGGAGATTGTTTTGAATGATAAAGCTCTGGGGTGCCTGAATGGTTCAGTCAGTCAAGCTTCTAATTCTTTTTTAAAAATTTTTTTAAATGTTTACTTATTTTTGAGAGAGGGAGAGACAGAGCATGAGCAGGGGAGGGGCAGAGAGAAAGGGAGACACAGAGCTGAAGCAGGCTCCAGGCTCTGAGCTGTCAGCACAGAGCCCGATGCGGGGCTCGAACTCACGAACTGTGAGATCATGACCTGGGCCAAAGTCGGTCGCCCAACCGACTAAGCCACCCAGGCACCCCGAGTGTCCAACTCTTAATTTCAGCTCAGGTCATGAGCCAAGGGTTGTAGGATATTGCCCCGTGTCAATCTCAGTGCTGAGCATGGAGCCTGCTTAAGATTCCCTCCCTCTGCTACTCACCCATGTGCATGAGCTCTCTTTAAAAAAAAATTTTTTTTTGAATGATAAAGCTCTAAGCCAGGCCTGGTTTAGGACTTCTTAGCTCTGTTTCCTGTCTCCCCCACCCCTGAGGATACTTCCTCCTTGCTCCTGACTTGAGCGTCTGCCCATACCCAAGATTAAGCCCCCTTTTATTTACTCAGCAATTCATTCTTCTATACTGTCATGACCTGGGGCGAAGTCAGTCGCTGAACTGACTAAGCCACCCAGGTGCCCCTATCCTCATTCTTAGGTCAGAAAACTCTTTCATGGAGTCTTTCCTGATCTATCAGATTAAGTAGGGTTTTTTTTTTTTTTTTTTTTTTTTTTCTTTTTGACACCACAGAACTCTGAAATCTCTCTCAACTTGCTCACCCATTCTGTAACAGTGTGATTATTTATATACAAGCAAATTTATTGCTTAAATTTGGTACTCCTGGTTGACCAAAACCATGGCTTATTCTTTCTGTGAAGCCCCAGCACTTACCAGAGTAGATGTTCAATAAATATTTTCAGAATGAATGAAAAATTATGTTCCATCTACTTTAAATTTAAAATTACTCCAAGGAAAGTTAGAAAAGTGAGGCCAGATTACAGATGTATATCATTTTAATAGAATTGGTGGTAAACTGTCAGGACATGTAGCTAAGTGGGCAAATAGAGCAGTCTGGCAGACCCTGGACATGTCAAATCAACTTATGTTTGGGGAGTTCCTACCATGGGAATGGTGTTGCACAAACAAAAGAGGAGAAAAACCATTCCTAACCCTGGAAGACAGTGCTAACACTGGGAAAAAGAACAAACTATCTTGATTCTTCCTCTGTCATACCGTTACCAAGCACTCGGTGATCTCCACGCTGTGTACTGCAGTATGCATTTTGGAGAGATGTGGTTGAACATAATTTCTGATTTTATGATAATCTAGGATGTGCTTGTTTTACTAGGGTCTCCTTTATTTTTTTATAAATTTCTAAGAACAGAACCAAGGCCCATGATATAATCAACCCATATGCATTTTTTTTAAACAGGGTTTCCCATTATAATGATCTCCAGAAACAAATAGTTGGCTGTGCTGTGAATCGATAAACAGGGCACTGGCAGGGATAAGCTCAGCTGGCCTGAGGAACAACAGTGGTCAGTGGAGGGTGGGAAGCCCCTGGGGCAGAGGAAGGGGTGAGGGCAGTAGGGTAGCAAGTGATCTGTTCAGGAACTTACAAGTGCAAACATGGGGTGCAAAGTGCACCAAGGGAACAAAGGAAGAGATGAAAGCCTAATGGACAGACCAGGGACAAGTGTGTGGCAGTAAAGGTCAGAGGGCTGACTGATGATAACCAAAGGGGCAGGTTCCCAAGGTTAAATGTATATGCCTCTGTGACACATGCAGGTGACTGGTCCGTTCCAGAATTTTTCAATTTACCATACAGTCCCTTAACCCTAAACTGGGAGAAGCCTTTACAGGCCACAGGGTCTAAGCATCCACTCATTGCTTTGTCACTCCTCTTACGCTGATCCTACCCCACCTGAGTCACAACCAAACACGGACAAGACAGAACTGCTCAGGGACATTGTCATTCTATCCCTATCTTCCATACAAGAAACTCTAGATTCGTTTTCAATTTATCAGTGTTTCATCACGTGCACTCCATCCACGGCCATTCTGTGTACCACCCTTTGTTGTTACAGCACACCTCGGTCACACTTCCCTAGTTTGAGGTGCGTCCTTCTTCAGTTTCTCTCTCTCCCACTTACTCTTCACTGCCACTGTAAACAATTCACTTTGCATCATTTCCTGCCTTACAGTCACTAGGCTCCCTACTCTGATGGATCAAGTCTAATTATAAGTCCCACAGCATTGGGCACAACTCACGGGATGGCGTGTCCCCAGAGTCTGTCTTCCTTTGTTCCTATTCCTCCCCAGTTAAGCTGAGCAATACCCTCTTCCCAGTCATGCCAACCAAGCGTCGCCAGCTGTGCTGTGAGTTCCACATTTGAAGCAGAATGCGTCCCTTCTGACTGTTTCAGATAACGAGTATCACTCCTACCCCCAGAAGAACACTGCCACAATCTGTCACATCACAGGAACATGCCCTCAAGTATTCTAGTTTGCCTCTCTTTTTCTCCATTCTTTCATCCAAGTAACTCTTCATAATCTTACCTCCTCCTTAGCACTTTTCCAAGCCAAAATTAAGAGAAGTGATAACTTGTCCTCATTCCATGCTGCTTGAGAGACTCAAGACTCTCCCAAATGGCTTTACCAACCATCTTCACTTTGGGTTAATTTACATTTAAAATTAACCAAAAACGTTAAGAGTAGTAAATTATTAATCTTAGCCACTTGTCTAGAATTACTTTCAACTTAGTATCGATATAATCTTTGCGTCGCTTTGTCTTCCACAACCAGCAGCGTCAGGGACAAAGACAATGACACCAAACCAAGCCAAAATGTTCTTGAAAAGCAACATGCAACCTGTAAATTCTTAAGCAGTGCTCAGTTCTAAGATAAAGTATCTGTAGATAGCTAAGCCCTATGTGGACTAAGTACCAGCATCTAGCATTTTAAAACAAGAAAACAAATCAATTGCTAGATTTTTGGCACTGAACATTTTCTAATCACAGATTAGTAGCAAGTGTATTAGATGAGGGGGCTGAACTAGACATCTGTTCAAGACTCTTCTAGTCCCTGAGCTGGTCAGTGGATCCACACTGTGAACCTGGTTTAACGATCCCTGAACAGTAAATGTGTGTGCACAAGATTCATCAGCTTTTAGCTAATGCATGATACCACCTATTGGTCAAATTCTCTCAAGATTTCCCAAATTTAAAAGGTTAATTTGCCAGATGAAACTGAAAGTAGATAAAACTCTAGATTTAGTCCAAGAACACACTGAAACGTCTTCTTACTATTAACACTTCTTAGTATATAAAATCCTGAAAACACACTTCATGCCAGGGCACCTGGGTGGCTCAGTCGGTTGAGCGTCTGACTTTGGCTCAGGTCATGATCTCACGGTTCATGGGTTCAAACCCCGCATCGGGCTCTGTGCTGACAGCTCAGAGCCTGGAGCCTGTTTCAGATTCTGTGTCTCCTTCTCTCTTTGCCCCTCCCTCAGCTCACACTCTTGTCTCTTTCTCTCTCAAAAATAAACATTAAAAAAATTTTTTTTTAAAAACCATACTTCATGCCTTGCCCTTAAACAACCACATTTATAATTGTCTTCACTTTAAATTAACTTCAAAGAACAGGATTTAACTGAGAAACATTCATTCAAAAAAATTCTACTACCAAATTATCACTGCCTACAAGATGATTTCTGATTGTGCAGAGAAGTCTGTAAAGATAATTTCCATGTCAGAGAAGAACCTATTTCAAAACATTAAAGACCATGGCTAGAAAGCTACATTTTCTGTAACAGCAGAAAACAAACATCAAACACTAGAATCTGAGAAACAGTAACTGTAAGAAAAGCTCAGGGGCGCCTGCGTGGCTAAGTCGGTTGAGCATCCAACTCTTGGTTTCGGTTCAGGTCGTGATCTCACGGTTCGTGGGTTTGAGGCCTGTGGGCTTGGGATTCTCTCTCTCCCAGTCTCTCTGCTCTCACTCGCAGGGGTGAGCACGCGCACCTTCTCTCTCTCTCTCTCAAAAATATATAAACTGGGGGCGCCTGGGTGGCTCAGTTGGTTAGGCGGTTGATTCTTGATTTTGGCCCCGGTCATAATTTCATGGTTGGTGAGTTTTTTGTCCCTGTGTTGGGCTCTGTTATCAGTGCAGAGCCCACTTCATATCCTGTTTCTCTCTCTCTCTCTCTGCCCCACCCCCGCTCTCTAAAAAATAAATATTAAAAACTATCATCAAAATAAATTTTTTTTTTAAATTTTTTTTTTTCAACGTTTATTTATTTTTGGGACAGAGAGAGACAGAGCCTGAACGGGGGAGGGGCAGAGAGAGAGGGAGACACAGAATCAGAAACAGGCTCCAGGCTCTGAGCCATCAGCCCAGAGCCTGACGCGGGGCTCGAACTCACGGACCGCGAGATCGTGACCTGGCTGAAGTCGGACGCTTAACCGACTGCGCCACCCAGGCGCCCCCAAAATAAATTTTAAAAAAGCTCAAAAGTTCTTTTTTTGGGGGTGGGGAAAATTCTACTCTTGGTCACGGGAAGTTCAACCAGTGCAAACTGGCAGGGAAAAGAGACTCCTGGGTAAGTAAATATTGGGGAATATCAATAATGACAAAAGGTGATGGAAACGTCTACAAGTTAGGGTTGATTAGGGTTTGGGGAACCTCACTGGACACTCAGAATTTTAGCTATCAGGTGAATTTCATGATGGAAATGTATTTCTGATGGGTCACTGGGAAAATAAAGGTGCCTCTTATGGGCAGCTTTCTATCGGCTCCACAGTCTAGAGGAAATGTTGCAGTGAAACGTACTCTGCAGCTATCTTACAGACAACTGCTTACCCCATTCTGCTGTCAGCGAGTCTAGTAAGCCTGGCCCCGGCCCCTGCCCCTGCCTGTAAAGGTACAATGAAGAAAATTCTGCTGACTTGTTCTCAAGTATGTGTTTCAGATGGCTGTGTAAATCAGTGTATCTTGAAAAGAATGTCACCTTCTATCATGCCAACTTTTTCTTTTTTAGTGACATACTACTAGAAAATAGGTATTTTTCTCTTCTCTGCAATGCCTGGGAAGAGTAGACAAGAGAGTATAAAGAACATTGCTTGCTGTTTTGAGAGGTATCCCTTTTTGGGTCAGCAGCTTGGTAAATTTAAAACCCTTAGCAAAACCTATAAATAGTATCATGTGTGTCTGGACACACGAAAAAAGGGCTCCACGAAAGCAGAGTCACCAAAAGTTAGTGGGATTACAGAGAACCTCAGACCACAGAGGGGGCTGACAGACTTCAGGTAATATTTTTTAATGTTTATTTTTGAGAGAGAGAGAGCGCGAGCGAACGCGCATAAACAGGGGAGGGGCAGACAGAGAGGGAGACACAGAATCTGAAGCAGGCTCCAGGCTCTGTCAGCACAGAGCCCGACGTGGGGATCGAACCCATGGATTGGACCATGAGATCATGACCTGCTGAGATCATGACCTGCTGAAGTCTGACGCTTAACCGACTGAGTCACCCAGCTGCCCCAAGACTTCAAGGTAATTTACACACCATTTGTCATCAGAAGGACTTTGGGTTTGCCAGTGTTGAGATGAATCAATGTGGTGATGATTCAGGTGATGACTGCCCTATATTACTCTAGTTAAAGCAGTGGCACCTGAAGCTTTTATCATCTCATTTCACATAATATTTGTACAGGGAGAATCATTATGCTTGCGGTATTCTTATGGATTGGTGTTTACAGAAGTGGACTCTTTCATTTAAGGACATTAGCATAAAACAGTTTCTCTTCAGAATATATAGCTAAAAGTCATTTTATATGGACTGAAATAATCTGGTTTAGGTATTAACCAGCTAACGAGCATTTCTAAATAGTTTTTGTTCAAAAGTTATAGAGGAGAAATGTCTGTGCTGCCTGCTTTCTCATCAGGAAGCACTGGTTTAGGTGAGGCTGAAGGATATAATCATAAAAGCAGCTATGAGATTGATGTGGACTAATACTTACTATCTCTACTCCAGTCATTATCATGATTAAGACTCCCTAATTTTCTGTAACATTTAAAAAGAGATTAGGCTCTATGAAAGTCTTTCAAAATCACCTACATGCTTTTCAGGTTAACAAGTCATTCTTCTGCAGAAATCAAGACTTAATCTCAGGAAAAGTCAAACACACACACTTGCTACTTCATCAATACTCTTAATACCTAGTATATAAAGATAGGCATTTACTCTTCTACAATAAGCCGGGCAAGGAATTTATGTGATTTCAGATGTAACTTCTTTTTCTGAACTTATTCTTTATCAACCTCCACAAGCACTGAAGTATCAAACACCAATCCATAAGAATACTGCAAGCACTGATACTAGATTTGGGAAATTTAATAGTTCTGGTAACTACTTAAAAATCCTAAACACTGGGGCGCCTGGGTGGCTCAGTCGGCTGAGCGGTCCAACTCTTGATTTTGGCTCAGATCATGATCTCACGGTTGGTCCTGAGATAGAACACACACATGGAACCTGTTTAAGATTCTCCCTCTCCTTCTCTCTCTCTCAAAAACAAACAAACAAACAAACAAACAACCTAAACACTGCACTTCAGGATGCTTATATACATTCCAAAGCAAATGATCACAGAAATGTTTTTTTATAAGGCAATTTAAGATGCTAAACCGGTCAGAAATCATCAAATATGAATTATCACAATGTCAGGCAGATTTTGACACTGTTTTCCATTCTGACTCATTAAAGGCCTCTAAATAAATCTAAGGGGTAATGTGGTCTGCAACCTCATGGAACTTTTTTTTAAAGTTCATTTATTTATTTTGAGAGAGAGAGCATGTGCAAGCAGGAGTGGGGGCAGGAGGGGGAGAGGGGAGAGGGGAGTCAGTTTCAAGCAGGCTCTGCACTGTGAGCGCAGAGCCAGATGCAGGGCTTGTTCCACAAACCATGAGATCATGACCTGAGCTGAAATCAAGAGTCAGGTGTTTAACCAACTGAGCCATCCAGGTGCTCCAGGAACTACTTTTGAGTCTCAAGAGCTTGGTATATGGTAGGCACTCAATAAAAGTGATGAACAACAACTATGACAACAATTATATACAAACAAATTATGTATTTATAAAGTTATACATATTTTATATAATATTTAAGTATTAAATATTTTATGAATATGTGTAACGTTTGAAGATTAATGAACAGTAATATTGATAGTTTTTATTTAGAGGTAATTCAGTGAATTTTAACACAGGCGTACACTTATATAGCCACCACCACCCTCAGTGTGTAGAATACTTGTATCACCCCAATAAAATCCTTGAGCTATAGTCACACCCTCTCCCCCACACAACCACTTGTCTGTTCTCCATCACCATAATTTTGTCTTATTGTTTTTAAAAATATTTTTTGCTGAAGAAGTATACTGGATATCTCTGTATGATTTACAATTTAGTATATGTGCTGCCGAAGCGAGCACTGTATGATTTACAATTTAAAAAGCGCTTTCTCTATAATTATCATCTATGATTAAAATCACATGTGCCATTTACCTATAGCTTTACAGAGCTCTCAATCCACTCTATAGCTTGTTTCCTTACAATACTCAGTTTCTTAGAGTTTTTCACTAGTTAACTTGGCACACATAAATTTCAAATTCTTGAACTGGTACAAGACAAAAAAAAAAAAAACCCTTGAAACAAAAGAATAAGATTTTAATTTTCCTCAAGGTTTAAAATTTCCTCCTTATCAAGATTATATTACTAATTCTGGATCACACGTGCACACAAAGTTTAAAATCCTTTTTGTCAAGTTCTATCTGATTTGACCATGAGCAGAATATTGCGATACAAGTGTCAGCTACTCCTGAACTTGAGGCATGGACAGTGAGCATCACTCTCGCTGGCTCTGTGCTCAGGTAACACTGAATGACAGTTCCACAGTTAAGCCATCCTCAGAGCTGCAGGGACCAATGCCTTAGTGGAGAGGAGCCTCTCAGACCTGGCAGTTGCTTCCGAAGAGCTCTGTTTCCAAGGTCTTGATTAGCCTTGTAGTTGCTTGGAATGGATAATGGGAGTAAGCGCAATCCATACCCATAATCTCTGATTTTTAAATTCCTCCTTTAAAAATTCTTTAGATAGTACTACAAACAGTATAAAATCATCTTTTGTATTTTAACTTCCTTCCCTTCTGAAACACCACAGGAAAGGAGAAAGTGAACAGACTTTGTGGGGCAGAGCAATGGTTAAAGTTTCTTGAGACCAGGAAAATGAACTGTGAGAACAGGAGTCAGGACTGAATGAGCAAGGAGATGGAGGTGCTTACATGGTCTTTAAGAAAAATGAGAAACGTCTTAGGGGAGAGAAAAGAGTAAGGGGGGATTTTTGGAAATGTCCTTCCAAGATATTTTGAGAAGTATCAAGTATACACAGGAGTTCTGTGACTGGGTAAGTGACTTCTCTGAACTTCGTTTCCTTGTCTGTAAAATGGAACAATAACAGTACCTACTTCGAAGACTTTCCAGGATTAAATGAGATAATCCACACAAACACCCAGGAAAGCACCCAATGCGTAAGAAGCACTCAATAAATGTTAGCTGAATAATACTGCCATTATTATTTCATCATTATCATCACCAATGAAGGGAAATCCTCACATGCTATGGACAGGAGTATAAACTGCCACAGCCTTTCTGAAAGGCAGTATAATAACAGATAAAAAAACTTTTTACTACACAAACCCTTTAATCTAGGAATTTGATATCTAGGAACTCATCCATAGAAAAATAATCTTATTAAGTAACCTGACATGTGTACCATGAGGTGGAACAAGAGTGTTTACCTCAGGATTATTTGTAAGAGAAGATTAAAATCAATCCAAGGGCCCAGCAATAAACAACATACAACGGAATACTCTGGAATTATTAAAAAGGATAGGATACATCTTTATGTAATGATACAGACATGCATTTGTATCATTACATAAAAGAGTCTATTGTATATAATACATATATGGCATATATTCCACATATGTATTTTATATTACAGTATTCCATTTATGTAAGAAAATATATAGTCTATAAACAAAAAATTACATATGAATGTTCATACTAGTATTACTCATAATAGCTAAAAAAGTGGAAACTGATGAATAGATAAATAAAATTGGCATATCTATACAACTGAACAGTGTTTGGCCATAAAAAGAAATGAAATACTGATTCAGGTTACAACATGAATAAGAACCTTGGAAACATCATGCTAAGTGAAAGAAGGCAGACACATAGGTCATATAATGTTATGATTTTACTCTCTGAATATACTAAAAGCCACTTCAAGTAGGTAAAAATGTGGACTATACCTCAAAAAGCTGTATTATTAAAAATATCTTGAGAATGTGGGTAAAAATTATAACTCAACAATATGTAACACCACCACCTTTGGACACCTAATACTCATGGTAATCAGAGGAAATATTACTAAAACACAAAAAGCAGAGGAAGGGAGGACAAATTTAACTATAAACTGTATTAACACTTCAACTTGTCACGTTACTCACCATCCATGAGAAGCCAGTGGCCAGTGAGAACCCAGATAAGGACGAGCATGACAGACAGAGAGAATGACAGTAATTCAGCAGCAGTAAAACGCCCACAGCAACCGAAGGAAATCCTGGAAAACACATGGTATTTATTGGACTAACAGCTGATACGTTATATTCAATAATCGAACTCTCCCTTGGTTCTTCACGATCAGAGTTCATCAGGGCCAGATTAGAATAGCAGGCAATACCTAGACTCCCAGAAATTGAAAACACCCAAACCTCTTTGGAGTAGGCTACAGGAAGTGCAAAGGCATTAATGATCCTTCTGCAGCCCTCTGATATTGTAGTTTTTATCCCAAATTATCAACATGGATGTTTACAATTTAAAGTGACAATACCAACCTTAGGAGAATGAAGTACACTATAGGGTAATTCTGTTTTTATGAGGAAAGCAAAATGAAGAAGGCCAATAGTTCAATCCACTGGGTGATGATGAATACATATTTATAAAATGGTAACAACTCTATCTGGTTATCACGAATTCCTGGGAAAATCAGCTGCTCCTAGTGACTGGTTTCCTTACGTTCATATGGGATCTCTATTAACACAGCACTTGGTGTCCATGTAGCAATGGCTTTAGGAGTTGAGGTGTGAAAGGTGTGCACATTGGGTTTAAACCCAAGTGGTTAGTATATATTCTTGGTCACCAAAGACAAAAGGCAAAGAATGTCTGAGTTGATCACATCCCATTAACTCACTAGTCAAGAGACAAAAGCATTGCTTCAAAATGAAACTGCTCATCTTTCAATAATCTAAGCAGGAAGCATGTTTCAATGACTCCGACTTCCTAAGATTTGTGTATATTTCCTCTCGTATGAAAAGGTGCAAAAGGAAGTACCACCTTCCAGTCTTAAAGATCAAACGTCTCCCTTCCCAGTCTTCTAGCATTTGTGTGCTCTGGTCCATACCAGAAATTTAGACTCCTAACAATGTTATCAAGTGCGACATAAAAACATTTAAAATTTAGAGAAAAATCCCAAGTCCTTACTTGTTCTGAGGTGAACAGGGTCTTGTTAAATACTGGCACATCGGGAGAAGGAGGAAAGCAAAAGCTATTGTGGCAAGAACTAGAGAAAGAAAATATATGGTTAAGTTTTGTTCTTTATTTTCAACACCTATAAGAAAAATGGCAGGACTTATGGAAACACTGACCAGAATACTCTTCTCAATAAGTAGATACAATTAATTAACTACAGAAGAAAAATATCTTCCTTTAGCACTGTACAAATAAAGTCTTGAAAAACAAAAAGTACCTGATTTGAAGGAATGGGAAGCATAGACAGGTTTTCTCATTCTTTTCTATCTTAACACAGAAAGATAAACAGCGAGCCAGGGGATGATCTAACATGTCTGGCATTTTGTTGATGTTCTATACATTTCCATCATCTCTTGACTTGAAAACTGATCAGAGGGTTCACAGTCAAATTACTCTGATTAGTTGCCAATGTGTCTGTCTACAGAAACATTGGTGGGGGTTGCCAATGACTGCTTTGCCACACTGGACCTTCTGGACACTTTGACTCCAGACAAGGAGTCAAAGTGGTCCTGTTCTGGTGTCATAAAGCTCACAAGTTTTCAAACCCCTGGCCTTTTGTTCAGACTGTGCTGACAGTCCTGAACTGATGATACGGGTATCCAATGGTTCAAGGAGAAGATGGGGAAGAAAAGCCAGACTTATGGAAAAAAACTTGCATGGCAGGTTGTATAGGTCTTAAGTTTTGAATGATGATTAAAAAGAAGTACACAGAAGATCCTGGGTTGGAGTCTCAGTGGAACCTTGGTTCCAGGAAACTTACCTTGGTTTCCTTTCAAAAGAAAAAAAAAGACGTGAGAGGTGCCTGGGTGGCTCAGTTGGTTAAATGTCCAACTTGGCTCAGGTCATGATCTCACAATTCTTGAGTTCGAGCCATGTGTTGGGCTCTGTGCTGACAGCTCAGAGCCTGGAGCCTGTTTCGGGCTCTGTGTCTCCCCCTCTCTTTGCCCCTCCCCAACTTGCACTCTACCTCTTTCTCAAAAATAAATAAACTTAAAAAAAAAAAAAGAAGTGAAAAAATTTCCTTTTAGGTTAATGTTCAAGAATAGAGAAACATGGGACACCCAGGTGGCTCAGCTGATTAAGCTTCTGACTCTTGATTTCAGCTCAGGTCATGATCTCACGGTTTGTGAGATTGAGCCCCAAGTTGTTGGGCTCTGCACTGATACGGTAGAAAACCTGCTTGGGATTCTCCTCTCCCTCTCTCTCACTGGTGTGTGCATGCTCTCTCTCTCAAAAATAAATAAACTTAAAAGAAAAAAGAACAGAGAAACTTATTTACCTGCTGTACATATTGTAAAAACTACTTGAACTGAGTCAAAGAAGAAGAACATTACTAGGAGAGAGACAGATGCTCCAATTGGAAGGAATAGGGCCTGGGTAGAGTCAATAGTTTGGATACCTGAAAGAGAATAAGGGACATATTAATGACTTATATGATAAGTACTGTGCCCATGTACTCCAGAGACATTAACCCATTAAAATGCAGACAGTCTATGGAGCGCCAGGCTGGCTCAGTTGGTTAAGCTTCTGACTCTTGATTTCAGCTCAGGTCATGATCTCACAGTTGGTGAGATCAAGCCCAAGTGGGGCTCTGTGCTGACAGTGCCAAGTCTGCTTGGGATTCTCCCTCTCTCAAAATAAATAAATAAACTAAAAAAAAAAAAAGTACAGACAGTTCTAGGAGTTAGTATATAAGATATAGATTATCTAGGACCTCTGATTCTTTCCTTCCCACTGAAATTATGAGGTCCTTGCTCTCCTCATGGTGCATTCGTTATAGCAGGTACTCAAATACTTGTTGAACTGAACTACTACCTCCTGGTGCTAACAATCTGGTTGACAGGCTGAAGGAAGGAAGAAATAGGAAGAAGAGGGGGAGGGAGATGGGGGGGGTAGAAAGACGAAAGGAGGGAAAACAAAACCTAAGAACATCAACAGGTAGTAAAAAGATTAGTCAATCTGAGTACATCTGTAATCTCATGTACAGGTTTGGTAAAAGGTAGTTTAAAGCCACTGACTGAAATCCTTTCTCATTATCTACAGATTTACTCATGTTCACTCTTCCCCACTGTTGCTGAGAACTGACTCTCAGTGGAGCATAAGAGTGGAGGGAACAAGACATCTGAAAATCAAAAATCAGAAAGATTATTCTGTGGGAACATCGTAAGGACCAAACAGGAGATAAATGGGGGAAAATAATTACTTGGGATCTAGGATTCTTGGTTAATCATTAGAATCATCTGGAGAGCTTTAAAAATTACATGCCCAGGCACAACCCCAGAACAATTAAACTGAAATTTCTGGGTGTTATTAGGCCCAGCTGAAAACTCTCCACAAAATTTTATTTTGCATATAGAGTTGAGGAACACTAAGTATTTGGTAGAGAAGAGAAACACGGCACAATCTGGTAACTACTGAATGAAAAGAAAAAAAATTACTAATCTTGTGTGCTACTTCCAAATTAACACTGCTGAGATATAAAGTTCTTGAGTGGAGTAAAAAAAAAAAAATGTTCATATGAGCTATTATAAAGAAATACTAGGGACGCCTAGGTGGCTCAGTTGGTTAAGTGTCCGACTTCTGCTCAGGTCATGATCTCATGGTTCGTGAGTCTGAGCCCCACGTCAGGCTCTGTGCTGACAGCTCAGTGCTCAGAGTCTGTTTCAGATTCTGTGTGTCCCTCCCCCCACCTCTCTCTGCCCCTTCCCAGATTGCGCGTCTGTCTCTCTCAAGAATAAACATAAAAAAAAAAAAATTATAAGTAAACATCTCTCTCCATTAAACTAAGGCAATGAATAAAATATAATGTGACCAGGATTAACATAACTAGGCACAAAGGGTTGTAATTATCAACCAATATTTAAAAATGGTTCTTTTTTTTTTTTTTAATTTTTTTTTTTCAACGTTTTTATTTTTGGGACAGAGAGAGACATAGCATGAACGGGGGAGGGGCAGAGAGAGAGGGAGACACAGAATCGGAAACAGGCTCCAGGCTCCGAGCCATCAACCCAGAGCCCGACGCGGGGCTCGAACTCACGGACCGCGAGATTGTGACCTGGCTGAAGTCGGACGCTTAACCGACTGCACCACCCAGGCGCCCCTAAAAATGGTTCTTTGATATTTGAATTTACCTGTCCCAAGAAAGCTATTTAGGGATTTTAGTTAAATAAACTATTAAATATTTCTACAAAACACAACTGCTTCCTACTGGCTAGATACATGAGTCAAATAATTCACTTAGGAATAGGGCATTTCAATTTAGGAGGAGTGGCTATGTGTCAAGACAAATAGAGATGCTCTTCAGAAGACAGCTGGCCAGAAGTGCAGTCAAACTTGTCTTCCTGGCCCCTTGATCGTGTGTGTGTGTGTGTGTGTGTGTGTGTGTGTATGGGGGGGGGTGGTATCTTACTTAAAGTGTCTTATGGACATTTACAAAGTAAAACTCTATGAAATCTCTAACTGAATTTCACCTAGTTTTTTATCTGAGTGCTCTACACTAGTTCAAAGAACTACTAGAGGAAACTACAGATTTCAGGTGCCTTTCACAACAGAAAATAATGGTTTCTCAATGGCTCTGCACTGACAGCATGCAGAAAAATTAAATGGCTGGTGAAAACAAAAACTGTTTAGTAAGTCAGGTATATGAGAAGTATGTGTTTATAATAAATCTAAATTTTATCAGTTTAGTCTGCAATTAAAATGCAAAGCTGAATACAAAGAGCCTTTCTAGAATATTAGATAAGAATGCATAGATTTTTGTTTTTTGAAAGCACAGATTTTAAAGCAAGAGGTATTAAGACACTGCTTCCATTAGTTCTATAGAAGAATGCCTAAGGGAGTTTACCAAACAGCAATGTCACAGGTAAAGTGAAGTTCCTTTAGTTGCTGACAATATGCTTCCCCAAAAAATACAAAATTTCAATATTGTACTTCCTAAAGGTCTGGAGATAATGGTCCTGAGGGAGATGGAGCTAATTAATTAGAAATTTCAGGGGCGCCTGGGTGGCACAGTCGGTTAAGCGTCCGACTTCAGCCAGGTCACGATCTCGCGGTCCGTGAGTTCGAGCCCCGCGTCAGGCTCTGGGATGATGGCTCAGGGCCTGGAGCCTGTTTCCGATTCTGTGTCTCCCTCTCTCTCTGCCCCTCCCCCGTTCATGCTCTGTCTCTCTCTGTCCCAAAAATAAATAAAAACGTTGAAAAAAAATAAAAAAATTAAAAAAAAGAAATTTCAGTGACTTCAAAACAAAACAAAATAAAATTCTCCGTCAGTATTCTAGCTTTATATTAGATCCCTGGTATTTCCTCCCTCTTAGGTGGTGACTTTAATCTGTCCTGTCAGTCATTCCTCATAATTAGGAGGAGTTACTCAAATGCAGTGGGCATTACCTTTAAAGCCAAAATTATCATAAGAAATAGGCATGGTTTTCTCTTCAAGGCCGACCCTAGGGATAAGACGCTTTAGGACAAAGGCAAGAAGCTGCTGGAGCACAAAGAGATAGAGGGCAGTCTCAAAACAAAAGAAATAGGCATGGTGACAGAAAAAAATATGTACAGAGAAATTATTTTTAGCATTCAGTCAACAAGGCTACAGGCTAAATACATGGTCATGAAATAGATACTGAACAATACACCAATCAATGTATTACTGATAATCATTAAGAAAGTTAATGATTTAGCACCTCTGTAAGAGAAGCATGTTTTGGCTATTTACTGTATTACACAGTAGGTAACACGAGGGACTGAAAAACCTGCACAATCTTCAGATATATTACATGGGTAGCCTGGTAAAGGCCTTCAAGATGTCAGATAATGGGGGTGAGGTTGGGAGTTGTCCTTTTCAACCCACCTAACACTGATTCAATGAAGGACTGGTGCGCCAGGGGGAAAAGTATCTACCTAGGTTTCTTGGAGCAGATGTAGGGATGAAACAGGATTTAGAACAAGGTTAGGGAAAATTAGAGAGGCCCTGGAGGGCACTCCCTCCTCCCCACTTTCTAACTCTTTTTATTGCAAAACATAACACACATACAGCAAAGTACATAAAACAAAAATGCAGAGTTCAGTCAATCATCAAATGGCTAATACCACCCAGGTCAAGCTTGCCAAGCCCAGAAGTCTTTCTTGTGCCTCCCAGTCACTACTCTTCCTCCCAGAGGGAACTACTACCCTGGTTTTTATACTTCCTTCTCTGCTCTATTTGATATGTTTTCCACCCAAGCATGCATCCTAAAATACTAATATTTATTTTGCTTGTTTTTGAGCTTATTACATGCCTTGAATTACCAGGATTTTTTTTTTTTTTTTTTGCATCTAGCTTCTTTTGCCCAACATTGTGAGCAACATCCATGCTATTTATGTAGCTGTACATCACTCATTTTCCTGTCTTTTTCAAATTCCTTGATTCTTACTTATTTTGGGAGTAAGCAACCACAACATTTATTTATTTTTAATTCTGCAACCTTTAAAAACCACCTCATCTATCTACACTTTTTCCTTCAATCAGTTCAGAACACTTTTGCCAAAATCTGAACACTAAATTCATACCTTCCTTTCCTGAGAACTTCCCCTTAATTGTTATCATTCAGGACTTCAATCTCTTTGGTGCCTACACAATCTCTTGTATTTCTCTGTTTATCTTTCTGGCTGTTATTTCCTTGAGTTTGATAAATGTACCATGTTTTCCATGCCATCCCTTCAATCTGGAATGATGTCGTGCTCCATGATCAAGTGCTGGCCTTCCCTGCAGCAACAGCCATTTCTTTATGTTTTTTTCTGATTATGTGGAAGTGGAAGGCATTCTCTCCTCATCTATCCCTTTTTGGTATCCATGGCCCAGATGAGGCACTGAGGAAATACACCTGTGAGGATAATTTAGTGTAACACAGGAGACAGATTTAAGACAAGACTATTTAGCCATTTGGCTCCCTGAGCAGCGCCATGGTGGTAGGCAAGAACAAGCGCCTTAAGAAAGGTGGCAAAAAGGGAGCCGAGAGTGGCTGATCCATTTTCAAAGAAAGAGTGGTACGATGTAAAAGCACCAGCAATGTTTAATATAAGAAATATGAGAAAAACACTAGTCATGAGAACTCAAGGAACCAAAATCACATCTGATGGCCTCCAGGGTCCTGTGTTTGAAGTAAGCCTTGTTGATCAGCATGATGAAGTTGCATTTAAGAAATTCAAGCTAATTACTGAAGATGTTCAGGGCAAAAACTGCCTAATTTTCATGGCATGGATCTTACCCGGGACAAAATGTGCTCCATGGTCAAAAAATGGCAGACATGATTGAAGCTCACGGTGATGTCAAGACTACTGATGGGTATTTGCTTCGTCTTTTTTGTGTTGGTTTTACTAAAAAACGCAGCGATCAGATTCAGAAGACCTCTTATACTCAGGACCAACAGGTCTGCCAAATTCGGAAAAAGATGGAAATCATGAACCTAGAGGTGCAGACAAATGACTTGAAAGAAGTGGGTCAATAAATTGACTCCAGACAGCATCGAAAAGATGTAGAGAAGGCTTGCCAGTCTAGTTATCCACTCCATGATGTCTTCGTTAGAAAATTAAAAATGCTGAAGAAGCCCAAGTTTGAATTGGGAAAGCTCACGGAGCTTCATGGTGAAGGTTGTAGCTCTGGAAAAGCTACTGGGGATGAGGCTGGTGCTAAAGTTGAATGAACTGATGGATATGAGCCACCAGTCCGAGAATCTGTTTAAAATTCAGGCATTTAATGGTGATAAACAAAAAATCTTATTTGTGATGTTTAAAACAAAACAAAACAAAAATGATTATTTAAAGCATTTATTTAAAGCAGGTTATGATCTGACAGTTCATGGGTTCGAGCCCCATGTCGGGCTCTGTGCTGACAGCCCCGAGCCTGGAGCCTCCTTTGGATTCTGTGTCTCCCTCTCTCTCTGCCCCTCCCCTACTTGTGTTCTCTCTTTCTCTCTCAAAAGTAAATAAACATTAAAATACATATATATCTAATAGAATATCTAAAAAATACACATCTAATAAAGTGCATGATAGGAACCCAGCATCAAACTCTTAACAAATCAAGTCTCTTTATTTATAATTCAGTTCAGATGCTGGTAATGAGAAATAGAAAACTGACATAACCAGATACCCTTTCACTGTACGGACTGAGGATTTATTTATTTGAGGATAAAATTATACTTAGACACACAGTATCAATTTCTCTTAGGTTTCTGTGATGGAATGTACAATGGATTTATAATCTAAGTACATCATTTGCATATATGCTATGTAACACAGGATTTATAAAGGAGTTTCAATTGTATAAGGTGATTTGGCTTAAAATGTTGATAGAAGAGAAGTGCTCTGTAATAATTTAACCTGAAAATTAGATATTGACACTGGGTTTTACCTGATTCCTAGTAAGTTGGTGGTATCGTCTTTTACCTCATATAAGGATCTGTGTCCTAAGAAAAGCCTCATTATGTTTCAGTGATTCTACTTACTAGATTTATAATGCCTACTTTACACTGCTAGGGACAACAAACACATTTAACTGGGTGAAAACTGGGCAAGTGTGATTTGGCTGATGGGGTAGTAACTAGAGAAACTGAAAGTGATCTCTTAACAAGTTAACTTCTAAAATTCTCCATCAGCATTCTAGTTTTATATTAGATCCTTAGTATTTCCACCCCCTTAGGTGGTGACTTTAATCTGTCCTGTCAGTCATGCTCATTCTCTCCCCTGTGCCTATTACATGCTCTTCCCACCCAGAATGCCTTCTTCTCCAGCAATCCAAGTTCACAGTCTCAAATTTCTTTTTTTTTTAATTTTTTTTAATGTTTTTTATTTATTTTTGAGACAGAGAGAGAGAAAGAGCATGAACGGGGGAGGGGCAGAGAGAGAGGGAGCCACAGAATCGGAAGCAGGCTCCAGGCTCCAAGCCATCAGCCCAGAGCCCGACGCGGGGCTCGAACTCACGGACCGCGAGATCGTGACCTGAGCCGAAGTTGGACGCTTAACCGACTAAGCCACCCAGGCGCCCCTAGAGTTTCAAATTTCAAGTCACACTCACCTTGTCTGGGAGGAAGTCCCTTATTAAATTGGCCCTCTGTGGCTCACCCTGACTTGCCTCTTTACTCTCTTTGTACATGGATGTCAAAATCACTTCATCTCTAGTGTGTATTCTGATCTACTGATAGTAGATGCTGATTCAGAAGTATTCTAAGGCTATGGTAAGGGTCTGTGAGAGGAAGTTCCTGCTCTAGGGACAGGAAGTGGTATTTGCTATCTCCGTCTCAGTACTTTATTAACACTTGAGAAAGTACTTTGGCCACAATGCCTATGTGACAGCTTGGGTGCAATCTCTTGTACTTCTGCAGCTTTCAAAATATGTAACAGAATATCCAGGGGCACCTTGGTGGCTCAGCTGGTAAAGGATCCAACTTTAGCTCAGGTTATGATCTCACAGTTCATGGGTTCGAGCCCCGCGTCGGGCTCTGTGCTGATAGCCCAGAGCCTGGAGCCTCCTTTGGATTCTGTCTCCCTCTCTCTCTGCCCCTCCCCTACTTGTGTTCTTTCTTTCTCTCTCAAAAGTAAATAAACATTAAAAAGTGTGTGTGTGTGTGTGTGTGTGTGTGTGTGTGTGTATATATATATAATAGAATATCTAAAAAATACACATCTAATAAAGTGCATGATAGGAACCCAGCATCAAGCTCTTAACAAATCAAGTCTATTTATAATTCAGTTCTCTTTATAATAAACGTTACCAATTTTATATAACTCTACTGAGGCACAACTTATATACATTCATCCATCTTCACTGTACAGTACTTGCCACATAACTACAAATCTACTTTCTGTCTCTCCATATTTGCCTTTTTGGAAATTTCATACACGTGGACTCACACAATACGCAGCCTTTCCTGTACGGCTCCTTTCATAATGTCTCGAAGTGCATCCACGTCATGGCATCTACCAGCACCTCATTCTTGTTAACCCTCAACAGTATTCCTTCGTGTGGATATTTTCTCCACCCACTACTTTATTGATCTTTGAGCTGTTTCTACTTTTTGGCCACAATAAACAATGCTGCTAAACATTTGCCATATAGCACACTTGTATTTTTTATAAAGCAAGCTTTATTATCAGGTTACCACAATACTTAGCTTTACAAGTACTTCAGAAGTAACTATCTTCAAGAACCACTGAGTGAATTTATGACCAACACATACAAAACTATCAACCTCACCAAAGGATTTAAATGAAGTCTTAAGCAGGCGGATACCTATTTTCCTACTTATTTTTAAGAAAATAAAGAATCTCAGCAGTAAGCTTTCAGGCATGAGTTAAAAGCAGTACACAAAGTACACAAGAAATCTGTAGTTCAGGTTCAGAATGTAAGCATTTTTACAAATTCTACCATACAGATTAGATTTTATTATTACACCAAACAAATCCTTAACCCCAGTAAATTAACTTGGGTTATAGAAACAATCAAATGAAGCCCAGTGCATGTATGAAAGTTAATTGACATAAAAGGCCTTACTATTATTGGTGCTGTTGCCATTGAAAGACCCAGTAGAACTGCTATTGTCTTTCTCCTTATCTTGATTTTCAAAGTCCATATTAAGGGACCTGTGGAAAAATGTATAGGCAAGTTTTAATTTTGCTTAAGAAATGAGGTCAGAAAAGTCTGTTATGAGATAATATTTTAACATGGAAGGCATCAGGGAAGATAGGAAGGTCTCTTTTGAACAACTCTGCAAAACAGTTCTTGTTGGTACATTTTGGAAAAACCATCTACGTCCCTTCCAATATGTCAGTTCAAGAATTCTCCTGACTGAAGGTTAAAAACATTCCACGTGGCTGATCTTCCAGACACATCTCCGTGCACATCCTTAATTACCTACTTATGATAAATACCTAGAAAGAGAAATGTTGGGTCAAAGGGCAAGCACAATTTTGAGACTTTAACATACTACACAACTGCTTCCAACAAAGTTATACCAATTTGCTCTCTGTAGCAGTGTATGAAAGCATCTTCTCTATACCCTGTCAGCTTTCGTTTAACAACAGCTTACACTTGAATTTCTGCTATATATAGGACTGCTCTAGGCAGTGGAGGGATGATAAATAGTGCATAAGACAAGTTTTCATGGATTGTACATTCACAGAGGGGGGATGCCAACAATAAACAAGTAAGTTAAATGGGTATTAATTGTAACAGCTAATGAGAAAATGCAGGAAATGAAAAGACTAGATTTGAAATTTTAAATAGGGTGGGCTGGGGAGTCAACACTGGCATGATTTCCATGTCAAGACATGAAGGAAGTGGTCATTGTCCAGCTGGGGAATGAACAATGCAATCTCTTAAGTTAGCGTTCTTTAACTACTAAACAATTTTGTGTATGTGAGCTCACTCATTTTTTCCTTTTTTGTAAACTATTTAAGTCCTTAGCTCATCTTCCACTACTATGTTACTCTAAGGTGTTTGTGCACTAAAGAACTTCCTGCAATGATGGACATGTTCTGTATCTGAACTGGGTAGACATTAGCCACATGAGCACTGAATACGTGGGAGTGCAACAGGAACTGAATTCTACATTTAATTTTAAGTAATTTAAATTATTTGGGGGCTAAAACTATAAAATTCTTAGGTGAAACATAAGAATAAATCTTTGTAATCTTGGATTGGGAAGTAGATTCTTACACATGATGCCAAAGATACAAGCAAAAAATTGATAAATTGGACTTCATCAAAATTTAAAACTTGTGCTTCAAAGGACACTATCAAAAAAGTCTCTAACCCAAAGGATGGGAGAAAATATCTGCTCTTATACGTCTGTTAAGGGCCTTGTATTTATTTTTTTCAACGTTTATTTATTTTTTTGGGACAGAGAGAGACAGAGCATGAACGGGGGAGGGGCAGAGAGAGAGGGAGACACAGAATCGGAAACAGGCTCCA